CTTTTGGGTAAAAATCAAATCTTCTTCTTTTGAGACGAGCTTGTGGATTGTACAAGTCGTCGGTGTTCTTCTCATAGTGGAATCTCCCCTTCCCCTTCCCCGTGAACGTAGGCAAGTTTGTCGAACCACGTAAATCTCGTGTCTTTACTATTTTCTGGGTGTTAGCTATTGCTTATAGGTTCCCTTGACAATTCAGTCTTAGAACTGATGAGAGGAAGGGTGTATATCTCACTTTGTTGAGATATTTCACTTTTGTTCTTGTTTCCTTCGCGAAACAGGAACATAAAGGTTGGCTTGAGATTTTGTGAAAACAAAAGCCAGGGTTTTCTCTCGGATTATATCGCTTCCGCGGCGTGAGGGCGTGACTCTGCGCCCAACATAGACAGTTACAAGATTTATACTATAAATGAAATTATCACAGCAAGAACATGTTTCTCATTCAAAATGTATATAACTCTTTCAATTTATAAGCCTGTAAAATGCTTTCTGGATTTACCCTTGAGTGCCTTGACCATGTATTTTGTCCAAAAAGAGACCATCTGTCTGCACGCCATACAGCTATCCAACAAGGTATGGCTGCTCATCCCGGCGATAGGCATAAAGTACGTTTAACTTTGTGAATTATAGGGTTTCTTTAATGAGGTTAACAGCGAACATTTTCATAGAAAGATAAAGTACAAACCTCCCCTAGACATTGAGAAGGATACATAATCAAAGCACCTTAAATCTGACACACTAACCAACATATGTAATTGGATAATTAACTAAGCATGTAACTTTAGACATAGAGATGCTTTATTTACATTCTTTTAATAAGTTTTTAAGTGAATAACTGAATATAAAACATCAACATCTTGAGGTAATTTCAGAGTCTAACATAGGACATTTTTGACTCGAACAAAATACCACCTATTATTATATCATAATGAGAACTGATATAAGTTTGATACTGCCTTACCATGTAAAGTGTCACAAAGAGATCCCTTAGTTGTGAACTCATATGAAGGACATGGAGACCCCCATCAATACAGTAACCAAGTAGCTCAACAACATTTTCATGTTTCAGCCTGGACACAATGGAAAACTGTAACAACTAATATCAGGAATCAATTACATCAAGTCAGTAGTGATCCAATCTCTCAGGAAACGAGTTTCCAGACCTGTGCCCAAAATTCTTTGTCCGGTTGCTTATTAGGTTCTAATTTTTTAATAGCTGTTGATTTTCCAGTTTTTAGAACCCCATAATACACTGAACCATATAATCCCTCTCCAATCAGAGAATTGGTACCGAACTTATCTGTTATTTCACTCAACTCTTCAACAGGAATGGCAGGAACTGCAATTGGATGCACTTTGACAGATTGAATTCCATTGGGAGCAGAATCTGAGGCACGATAACCGCCATAATTGCCTGCATGATAGTTTTTGTTTTAAAAAATCATGGAAATATATCTAACCAGAGACATGGAAAAGACATGTAGAAACAACGTGGAATGGAAAAAGAGTGGGAAACACAGGCCATTTGATGCAGTAGGGTGACAAACAGAAGTAGACATGAATAAACTATGTGAATATCAATTGCAAATATTTTCTTATATATACTATAAGAGAATTACGCTGTGTGAATTAACCACATTGTAGAATACTGGAAATGTATCCTCACATTTAAGGAAAAACTATAGAACACCCTGGCACTTATAAAAGTACAGGCATGCGCTCAAACTGGTAAAAGACTACGAAAATACCCTCACACGTGGAAAAAACAACAAAGATGTCCTCGTACTTGAAAAATATCAAACAAAAAAAATCTAGCAAACCATCTGTTTCCTTGACAATTGGACTATGACACTCGTCCATGTTTGTGTCATGCACACATCACGTGCACCAAGATACTAGTCAATAAATTTATTGTGCCTCATTAGGTTCATGCATGTGAAGTGAAAATCAACAGTAATGACAATTCTTAGCTGAAGGTACTGGTGGGCTCCGGCACAATTACTACACTAACTGAAAGAATAATATTTTGTTCTAAGAGAATATAAGACATGTGATCCACAACTTACACTAATCCCTCCCCTTAACCAATATAGTTGCTAGGTTGTTGGCTAGAGCTGTTTGAGAAAGTTCATCCTAAACACATTTCATTTGTAATCTGGCATTGAAAACTCTTTTAAATTGACTATATTTTATAGCAAGTTATGACCATAATCCACAAGAGGACTATAAGAAGTTATAATTCTAGCAACAACAACAGGAATCAGCAAAAATAATTTTACCTATTGAATGGTGTCTAGTAAAGGGCCTTCCTCTATCAGTAGCTTGTTGAATGGCTTCTGCTCCACAGCATCGAAAGCACGCCATTAAGGAAGCTTTTTTTCTGAGCCTTGCTAGTAACAAGTAAAGAAGATGGTGCTAGACCAAGCAAATGAAATACAATCAAGGTTATCAATAGCGGATAGCATCGCGTAGCGGTAAGGCATTGCTAAGGCTATTTCGGGCTATTGCGGCAAAATAGGGGTAAAAACGTAAAGTCAAATAGGGGTCTAATTTAGATATGTATAAATACTAAAAAAAATAAAGAAAAATCTAAGAAATCTAAAAGTACATATTGGATGATTTAAAGAGATCCTAAACATGAAATAGACATATAACCATCACGTAACACCGAAGATGACTGGAGGAGTCAAAAAATCGTCGTCTTCAAGAAGAAGAACTTAGCGGTGATAGGACTGCCCTAAGAAGAGCTCACGATGAAGGAGGTGAGAAAATATCAAGGTAGGTGCCAGAGGCCATGGGAGGTGGCGAGAGTATGCTAAAAATCACAAGAGACGGTTGGAATGCAATGGTCAAGGGGTGAGTTTAATTTTAAAAAAATAAGCCTCAAACCGCTTTTAAATAGCAGTCAAAAAGCAAATTTCGAATGCAATCGCTCACTATTTACCGTTATGACATACTATTAACCGCTTTTGTGAACAGACATATTCTGTAATATGTCACCGCTATTGCGCGATAGCGTAGCGGACGATAACATCGCGGGAAGGGACCGCTAACGCTATTAGCGCTGCTATTGCGGGGCTATTTACCGCTATTTATAACAGTGAATACAATTAGTCAGTCATAATCATATAGAAATCATCAGTGAGTATAACAAACTAACCATGAATTGTATGTCGCATGAGTAGCAAGAATATGCTTTATTCGGCATGTTCAAGCCTTGGAGGATGGTGTTTAAAGGCTAAATTTGCAACCCCGTGATTTTGAAGTCATGGGTTAACATCATGGCATGCTATCAATATTTTAAAACTAGGCTGATTTTATCGATTTATCCCTGATATATAGGATTTGGGTTATGGCTGATACGATTTTTGTAAAAATATATCGCATATAGTTTTGGGTCGATTTTTCCCGATATATTGGTGGAAATCTAATAAAACGGCTGATTTATCGTGGGCTAAAATCACCCGGTCTTCAACAAGTACAATTTACATTCTAAGTGAACTGGTTCGGGTTTGGAGAGACAAAACCCTCTTTTTCCATATTTGACGAGCATACACTAAACAAAAATAATACTACCCTATTCTATTTCACTTCCACTAAACAAAAACAATTGGTAAGTGATCCTAAACATGTGTTATTTACATATTAGTATGTTTATGTTTCATTAAATGTGCTAAGATTACTTTTTAAGAAATTATATTATATATGATCATCATCCAATATAACACTCCAATTTTTACTACTTATCTCAGACATATCTCGATAACTAGGATCTGATATGAATTTTGGTCGTCCGATATATTTTTGATAGCCGATATTTAAAACATTGCATGCTATTCGGCATGCAATTGAGGCCTTCCAATTCATGCTTGTTATGGGTCAAATGATGATCCTAGAGTCGAACCCGCTAAAGTAAGGTCCTAAATATGCCCAAAATGCCAACTGATGCCAAGAGGTCAGAGGATGACCTTGAAGGTGCTTCAATAAGAAGTATTTAGCAGTTAATGTTGGGGAATTTCAGTCTCCTCGCCTATCACGATATGCGCAACTCGGAAGTTAACCCCAATCAATAAGATAGAACAACTACAATCAAGAAAAAAAACACCGAGATTTACGTGGTTCGGTCGACCTACTTCGACCTACGTCCACGGGGTAACAATATGAAAAATTTACTATGTATCAGGGAGAACTACAAGAGGAACCACTCAACTCTCGTCTCTTAATCTCTCAACCTCACATACATAATCAACTCTCATATTCTCTCCAAAGCCCACTCCTTGTAATCTTTTGCACGGATAAAGACTACGAAACCCTCTCTCTCTCTCATCTACTACATCTCTACTTTTTCTTCATGGTTTTTCCTCCACCAATAGAAGAATATATATAGGGAAACCAAAACTCTATCTCTAGCCTAACTTCCTAATTAGAATAGGATTCAAACTCCTAATCATGATAAAACCCAAACTCCTAATCATGATAGAACTCAAACTCCTAATCATGATAGAACTCTAACCCTATCTAATTCTCATGAAGTTACACAAAGAATTAAAGACAAAATCCTAACAATCTTCACCTTGAATTTGATTCCCAAACTCCCTTGAAGATATATCATCATCGTCTTGAAACTTTGTCTCTCCCGCTAGAGTCTTCTATTTCTTTCGCACTTCAAATCAGAACACATGCACTCCTAATTGGATATCTTCATGATCCTCACTATCTTCTGCTTCGCCGTGACGCCTCCACCTCTCTTATTGTCCTTGTGCTTCACCTGCATCGCTCGTCTCAAATCATATCGGTGCACCTCTCCTACTCTACACCACGAGCTAGATGCCTCTATCTCCTCCATCACTTGGCTTGGACCAAATATGAGGGCTCACCATCTTCAAGTCCAACGCCACCATCTTCATCTCCATGTGTGTCACTCGGTCGTGCTCGCTTGCAAGCTCCACCTAATCTGGCACTGTCCTCCTCAAATATACACACCAACCAACTCCTGCTCCTTATCTACCATCAGATTTGTCTTACCGTTAAATAGCGGAATATCAAACTTCGGACCCGAAGAAGTCATCATTCTCTAATCAAAATTCAAATCAGTCACCGTAGAGTTTGAATTTGATGAAACCGATGCCAAAAACGAACTCAACACGTCGAAAAACCCTAGGAACGACTACTGGATCACCAAAATTCGCCTCCAAATCCTCAATCGGCTAACAAATCAATATGGACCGTCGGATCCCCCACGCGAACAGTACCGCGCGCTACAGTGTTCTGCTACAGTACTGCTGCTACAGTGTTTTCCCTTTGTCTTTTCATCTTGATTCTTATAACGCCGATCTTCAATCTTGCACGACGTCATCTTCTATCTTGCAAACTCGCTCCCGGATTCATCACCATCGCTCTGATACCACTTGTTGGGGAATTTTAGTCTCCCCGTCTACCACAATATGCGCAACTCGGAAGCCAACCCCAACCAATAAGATAGAACAACCATAATCAAGAAAAAGAACACTGAGATTTACGTGGTTCGGTCGACCAACTTCGACCTACGTCTACGGGGCAATAATACGAGAAATTCACTATGTATCAGGGAGAACTACAAGAGGAACCACTCAACTCTCGTCTCTCAATCTCTCAACCTCACATACATAATTAACTCTCATATTCTCTCCAAAGCCCACTCCTTGTAATCTTTTGCACGGATAAAGACTACGAAACCCTCTCTCTCTCTCATCTACTACAGCTCTGCTTTTTCTTCATGGTTTTTCCTCCACCAATAGAAGAATATATATAGGAAAACCAAAACTCTATCTCTAGCTTAACTTCCTAATTAGAATAGGATTCAAACTCCTAATCATGATAAAACTCAAACTCCTAATCATGATAGAACTCAAACTTCTAATCATGTTAGAACTCAAAGTCCTAATCATGATAGAACTCTAACCCTATCTAATTCTCATGAAGTTACACAAAGAATCAAAGACAAAATCCCAACAGTTAACGTCGGAAAAAATTGCAGTTAATGCTGTTAGGGGTGCTTTTTGACAAAATCTTTGAAGGGGACTTTTCCGTTAACTCCCAGACTTACGGGGGGGTTCTCTGGTATTTTGAAGTTTAGTGGGTTGTCCAAAGTTATATGAATATTTATATAAAAAATCCAACTTGATGCGTCCTCTAAAAGCACATAATTCCTCGCTAAAAGAGCATTCTTTATTCGCAAAGCTCCCTCTTTTTCGAATAAATCGTCAAATTATGTACATAAACAACCTATAAAATAAACTACCGCCAACTGAATTCAACAATGCTATCAACAATTTCTATATAGTTTTTATCTCTCAAAACGTAAATAACATAAGATCAAGATTATCACGAAAGTTTTAGGGCACTAAAAACTTAGGTGAGGGGGAACTAACCTCCGGAGGGGGACAAGGTAGCCGGAGACGCACAAGTTAGTGCCGCGTACTGAGGAAGAGAAGGAGGAAGAAGAAGAATGTGTCACTCTAGAAGTTGAAAGTCGTTAGCCGCGCAATCTCCTCACGAATAAATATCATATCAGGGTTTTAACCATAAATAGAATAGATAGAATTTTCTAAACTAACCCTCTACCAAACCCATGTAGGTAACAGTGCCAAAAAGTGTCCATGTCTGCGGTTATATCCTTATCGGCATCCATCAATATGGTCACTAAATTTCTACCTCCAATAGAATATAGTTATAAACACGGATATTGAGCAAAACTAGATTTTATGCACGTGCATTATGGTTAAATACCATGATGAAGTATTTTTGGTTTATTTTCTTACTAAAATTTGTTCATCGGTTACATTTTAATAGTTTTTGCACACTTATGTCTCTAAACTTTAGTATTGTGATTATTTATTTTCTTTGATAATTGTTTGAATAGGCTACACCCAATTTAAATTTTCATAACATCAAAAACCATAAGATCAACAATTGCATCCAATCAAGATTTTTCTTATTCAATTGGTCTGCCACTTGGTTTCTGTTAAAGGGAATAACTAAAATCTACTGCAGAAAACATTGCTTTCGATGAATTCAATACGAAATTTATGTAGATTCAAAGAAAAAAGAAAAGAAAAGAAAGATTATCCACATGTTTTCTCCTCAAAAACCACAAAATTCATTGCTAAAAGAGCATCTCCTCTGTTTGTAAGAATGAGCTAACCTATGAATCAAACTAACGCCAATTGAATTTAAGCTTTAATATCATCAAGAACATACATACAAAAAAAAGGATAGTTGTGAATTAAGATTTCTCAAAACCTGTGAACTAGTAACTCCATTCAATCAAAAACAATGATCTAACCTATGAACCACTAATTCTTCTAGGGTTTTGATCTCATCAAGAACACTAAAAGGGATGAAACCAAACAATTACGTTGAGCCAAGCTTATTTCTCAAAACAATCATCGCGATCAAAATCTTGAGGGCATGAAAATTTTGGG